CACCACACTCAGCAGACGAAACGCGGAATTGCTTCCACTTCACGCCTGTCTTCTGTGTGGTCGTGGTATCGGTAAGGGCGAGCCGGCCTAGCAGTGCAAAGATGTTAGTTAAAGCAGGCTCTACCACTGTTAAAATCTTAATCTTACCTCTTTATATTAGTATAGAACCTTTTACTGTGTGATTTGTACTTAAGTTCTACTTTTCGCAAAAGGTTGAAAATTAAAATGTATTCAAAAACACAAGCACAAAAGATTTAGAACTCATTACAATGAGTAGTTGACATTTTTTTCAAAGAAAACAAAATCTCTTTAATAAAAAGAAGACAAAATCTAACCTCAACATCGTTGAAGAAGAAATGTGCATCCGCTAAGCTGAATATCATCTCTTCTATTCTGAAACCCAACTGCACTATGAGCTGTGTGTCCTGAAACAGAAGCAAATTGACTTTATTGTATAAATGCAGAAATAAACATGCAGACGAATTGAGTACCTCCTTTTAGGAAGTCGATCAAAAAAAAGAAACAAGCCGTCCTATGTCCTTTTAGACTATATTCTACATCTATACAATATTTCATCGTGGATCATGGAGCGTCGGTGGCTCAGTGGTTTAAGCACTTGACTTGTAATCTACAGGTCTTGGGTTCGAATCCCGCTGTACCAACGTGATCTTCAATTTTTCGAATTTTCATATGTACATAATTTACCCGACGTTCTTACGGTGAAGGAAAACATCGTGATGCAACCTGCACATATCAGCGAAGAAATTCAAAGATATGTGTGAAGTCAACCAACCCACCCGCACTTGGCCAGCGTGGTTGACTATGGCCTTGTCACCCTAACTTTAGGGTAGGCTCCGAGCCCCTCGGTGGGGACGTACAGTGAGCTGGTGATGACAATATTTCATCAAGATCTCTTCAACTGTTTGGGAGATATCTCGTAAATATCCATCCATTTAAACTTTAGCATTTATCTATACTATTATAATAAAGCGTAAACATACACTTTGTTGCCTAATATGTCAGCAATCACAGGATATTTTTGAATAACTCTTTTTTTAATAAGAAGCCCTACACTTGCGTCACGGTTTAGACTATATATTTTAACGCCATTAAACTTAGGGGGTAAATATTTTGGATAAAAACCCTAACGTGGGAGAGAGACCATAAGTTGCTGCAAACATCAAGGAAGCGAGGTTGTCATCATGTCATATCAATTTGATATTTGTACAATAAAATAAAATTTTTGTAATTTCATGCGGATGAATTCGCAAGGGAACAAGTAACATTAATAAGACACACTTTCGCCCGCGATTCCATCTGTACAGAACTAACATACAACCATAGCTTGCTTATATGTTCTTTTAGACTATGTTCTACTTTTAAACCAATTATTACAGACAACATTCAACTAATTAGGAGGTAGTTTTAACATCCATTATACTTCATACTAATATTATAAATGCAAAAGTTTAGATGGATGGATGGATGAGAGTTTGTAGCCTAAACAGCCAAACAGATCTCGATAAAATTTGGCATAGACATAGACGATAGTCTGGAAAAACATATAGGCTATATTTTTATTAATTCCACGTAGATGGAGTCGCGGGCAACAGCTAGTTCATCTGTACGTTCGCATTTATAACATTTATAAGACTAGCTGTTGCCCCCGATTCCATCTAAGCGTAATTAAAAAATCAAATTAAATCAGTAGCCCTTCTTTTAGACTATGTTCTACTTTTAAACCATTTATTACAGAAAACCAATCAACTATTTAGGAGGTAAATTCTAACACCTATTCATCTAAACTTTCGCGTATATTAGTATGAAAATAACTTACCTTATTGTACTTAGTAGCAAACGAGCCAGTGAGTAATGAATGGAAGATAATAATAGTTTCATCGAGGTCCCATATGAACACTCTCTCTGTAGAAGGTTCTGGAACATGTTGTGCGGGAGATGACGATGTGTTCCTTCTGCCACGACCCCGGGATCTACTTGCTGTGCTCTCGCTAAAAAAATAATAAACTCTTATTAATTTTCAGCACTTTTTAATACTACACATATATAGTGGGAATTATAAGTTTTGTAGGTGATGTCTTCCGGTATTCCGAGGACAGACTTTTAATACCATTGGCTGTGCAAAACAAGGTTATATCCTCAAGATGGGAAGGAGTATAGATTAATGAAAAAATTTCCCTTTTTATTTAACCTGCCATAATTTTCAAATAATTTGCTTTTTATTATTACGGCATATATCTGCCTTTGTAGACACATTTTGCTTTTTTTTTTTTCATTCTAAAGCTAATACTTTTAAGACTATTCTTCTCCTCTGTCAAATAATTTTAACAGTGGTAGTGCCCGCTTTATCATCTTAGCACGAATTGGCCGGAATGCCCGGTGTAATACCACAACCACACAGAAGACAGGCGTGAAATGGAAGCAATTCCGTGTTTCGTCTGATGAGTGTGGTGCCGGAGGCCTAATTTTAAGTCCCTTTCTCTTTACCACCCTTTTCTTAAAAGGAGAGGATGGGAAGGGGAAGTGGATTTGACTGTGGAGGAGATGCACAGGAAGAGGATATATCGTCTTTATGTGCGTCTCCTCCTCTGTCGGATAAGGGTAGGCAACGCATCTGTAATTGCGGATGTCTATGGGCAGCAGTGGCTTCACCATTTTGGCGGAATCATGTGGCCGTTTGCTTGTTTGCCACCTTATGTTATAAAAACAAAAAATAAACACTTCTATTACACAGTATGTGTCAAATTTCAATAAGTTATGGAATTTTGAAACATGCTGTATAACAAGTGCTTTTGCCGCTAATGGTTTAATATCTCACAGGCTTGCAGTTTGATATACAGGATGTTTTAACATAATTTCTTACCCAGAATTCTCTCTGCATCTCCTACTGGCTGCGTGTACTTCATTTTTGATTGGAGAGAGTGGGCTTGTGTCATTTATTGCTGGTACCATTGACGATGGAGATTCTGGAATACATAGTTTATGATAATGTTGTTATATGTTTAAAATGGGGTAAACAAGGAGTGGACTGACTAATGTTCAAACATTCATGGATATTCATTACAAAAAGGGGAACTGTAGATTGCATTTAAGAGAACATTATTTCGTCGAAGGAAGTAACTGTATGTTAACTAAAAAGTAACTTTTAATCGTAAATATTTTGTAATTCATTTTCAGTATGCATTAATTGAAAAATATAATGCTTTTTATTAAGCAACTAAAGAAAGTAAAGATTTTAGGCATAAGAAAACATGAAAACTTTAATAAGATTAAATTTAAATTAATCTATAGTAATTCTCTACATTTTTATACATGAACAACTTTCATAGAACTTTTGCTAATTAGTAATAAAACTAGGCCTAATTTTAGTTCCTTTTCCTTTCCACCCTTTTCTTAAGGGGAAAGGATGGGAGGGAAAAGTGGATTTGACGGTGGAGGACACGCGTAGGAAGGGGAAATGTCCTCTTTATGTGCGTCTCCTCCTCCGTCAATTAGGGTAGGCAACGCATCTGCAATTGCGGATGTTTATGGGCAGCGGTCGCTTTCCATTTAGGTGGATTCAGGTGGTCGCTTGCTCGTTTGCTACCTCGTATTATAAAAAAAAACTTTTGCTAGTGCAACAAACTAAACAAAAGCATTTTCTGTTTTAACTGAAATGTTTTAATTTACAGTATATAGTTTACCGTTATCACTTTCTGAATCAGGCCAGTAATCTGAATTGTCGTCTACACTTCGTTCATTACTACCACTAAGTTTTCTTCTTTTAGAACTACTTTCTGTATCTTTTTTCATATTAAAAAGCGAAACAACACACAAAAGTTACACCAAATATGAAACGCCTCCGCTTTGAAACTTGACTTCAAGTTTTTTATCAAATTATTACACAAATATTTACTTTAAACAGTGTTTCTCGAAGTTTAT